TATATATATATATATATATATATATATATATATATATATATATATATAATATTTATATATGACGCATTTACATATGCACGAAAACGCGTTGACTTTACACATCTCTCTGCGCGGACACATGGAAAAATTTCAGCAGCGAGAACATTGACCAATTGCAATCGGTCATTCTTGGACCGTGAGAAAAATTATCGACCACGATTGGTCGATTAGCCTTTTCTGCGTGCCATTCGCTTTACGAAATTCGCGCGGTTTTCGCGGGCTCGGAGTTATCGTTCGCGATAACTCACTTCGATAATCGAAGTCGCGCGCAGTACTCGCGGCACACGTCTGGCACTTTCAAGACAAACTCCGCGAAACACGCGACGAAGACGTTTGATTTTTGAATCCGGCAGAGTGGAACGACATAGGAATCGCTCTTTTCGCGGTAAATCGGAGCCACGCGTCAACGGGACGCGCGTGTCTCTGCGCGTCGCCCCGGCGTCTTTCTTTTCAAGGAACGCGTAATGCTATCACATGGGGAAGACCGAAGTGTCAACGATCAATAGTATTACGAAAATGACTTGGTGATTCATGTGCCGAGAGTTTCGCGCGAGTCATGGTGTCGGGGGACAACGAGAGGCTGCTGCCCGAGCCTGAGAATTATGCCAAATGTTTTTACGATCTCTTCAAAAACGTCGCCGAGGCGCAAAGGTGCGACCAAAATGCTGGCGTATAACCTCCAATGAGCTTTGTTTACTTGACGCTGTCGGTGGTGACTGTACCATTAATTCATTTCACTCGTCATTGACCGATTGAAAATCGCTCGCAATGAAATGATTCGCTTGCCGATTCAATGAAATCATCAATTAATAGCCCTGGCCATTAATTACACACACATTTGTCCCGTCGCTTTGGGATGTTAACCTCAATTCCGTTGTTTATTAATGATAAGTTGTTTGTGTGTGGAGTATTATCTTATCTGAATGACTGAAATCACTTCACCTGTGCCCTTATTGTCGACTATATCCTCTTCATTTGTTGTATCAAAATTTATATTTATACATTTTATATATTCATAAAATGCATCTTTGCAATGGATATATATACTCATATGTACACAAGCTCTTAAATATATTATTATGTTATGCTTTTTAGGAATAAAGGAGAATGGAGGAAATGTAAAAGAAATAAGAGTATTCGTAAACGAGACAAAAAAAAGGTATTAGCAGCCATTGTTTCTTCTGTCTCCTATGGATAAGATGCATTTTGACATTTGTCTCATGTGTTTATTTTGTGCACACAGATCGACTTGAATGGGGAATTGAATTATAACAATCCCCCAGAAATAGAGACATCTTGTAATGCCTCTGCATTCGCTGTGTTTGCTAGTGTGAGACATGCTATTTTAGAGAAACATGCAAAAACATCAAGTGAGATTTATAGATCAAACTGTACCTCTCCCCCAACAGAACTTAGTGACACAATAGACACAGACAGTGACGATGAAGATAGGATATCTACTATACAAAATTTACCCAAGGTAAAAATATCTTTTTATTATTGTATATGCCCTCTTGTAACACACACACACACACACATATCCTTATAACAGCTACAATAAGTTTTTCTAAATTATAGGTTGTAGGTATTGGTTTAAAAAGTGTTTTTACATTGATGCGAGAAAGTAGAACCATTGACCCAATCTTGTGTACAAAAGCATTGTCAGCTCTATTGGATGTTTTACAAGGGCAATTGCCTGAAGGCCTCAAGTCCGAACCAGATGACGTTATTGGTTTGTATCTTTGAATAGTTAATCTTTCCGAATATGACATTGATACATTTGAAATGTCCTAACAATTAATTCTCTACAGATCCACTGTTCGATCTGTTATTGGATCTCGCGACATCTCACGGTCCTGAGTCAGCTGCTGCCAATGATGGCAGTCACTTGACAGCTGTCGCTTGTGCATGTTTACTGAGCCTTGTTGTGGTGAGAGGTGACACTGGACGTCTGCTGGCGGCGATAGCAGCTCTGCTCATGTCTCCCAGAGCATTAGCAGTACAAAATATTCGGGTACCTTGTCACAAGTATTGCCTTGCTGCGTAATGTTGTATCTGCAGTATATTATAAGGTTTAATTTTCGGTTTCAGATGCCATATGTGTTAATGTATCTGCAGAAAAGTATTCATGCCGTTTTGTTAGGTAAACTTGTGAGACCAGATTGGATTACGTACGGAGTTCCTAAGTGTTCTAAAATATATACCTCTACGCTTAAGTTGTCAAGTGAGATGAACAATATGGTTTTGAATGAACGAAGCTTTGTGAGCGACGGGAAGTACTTGTATTTGCACACGAATCGTGGTCTACTGAAGATCGGAAGTGGCCACGGTGGTACGATATGGGGGCATACATATATACATAAGGCAGACTTTTATCCAACAGAAACAGGATGGCTTGGCTATGCGAATGTTGGTTTCTCATAATGAATGCTTGCGATCGCACAATGATATATAATAAATAACATGTCGCGCTTATCCAAGGTTTCGTTTGCAGCGTTCGTTGTACTTCAAATGTGCACCCAGGAAACAGAGAGAATTATTGATTATTGATGCAGAAACACTCTTGGTAAAAGGAATCGCTGTATTAGAAGGAAAAGACTGGTCATCGTCTGTCATGTTTTCCGACGGTGAAAATCTAGGCATGATAACAGCGGGCAAGGATGTAATTGTCATAATCTTATGAAAGACTGTATTGTACGGTATTGTCTAATGACTTTGAGGTGTTTATGCAATCAATTCTCTAATCTTTTCCCAACAGGAAGGCTTTGTAGTACGTACTATAAATACACTGAGTAATCCTGTAACGGTTACCTCTGAACTACCACTGAAATTGGCAAGAAAATGCGTGGATATATTTGGGTACGCGATATTCGATGAGGAACAATCGGTACATACTTTGAATTCAGGATGTGACGATGAAATTTCAATAGTTACAGCAGGGAAAGAATTTGGATTATTGAAAACAGTATCAGGAAAGGTAGGTTTTGTGTGCGAGAATGGTTTTTAACGGCTGCCATGTAATTACTGTTGTCTAGCATTACATTGTGTATAATTTGTTTCATCTTGAAATCACGTTGTGTTTTATAGTTATTATATAGTGGAAAAGGCACTTGTCTCGGTATGAAGAGTAACACAAGGCCTAATAGTTGGCTCGAGCTTACCTTGGGTAAAGGTCCGAGGGTTACGCATTTCGCGGTAGGACACGATGGACAACATGTCGTAATAGTTATGGAAGACGGCTCTGTTTTATTCGCTGGTACTGCTAGACGCGGGGAAGATGGAGACAGTAGTAAGTTCTTTTGTGTATAGTTTTGTTCGCAAAATATTTAGATATCAGTGTGTGTGTGCTTTGGATATTCAAAATATATCTGTCTTATTTCAGATAAAGTTCGAAGACAACCAAAACCGGTAAAACCAAAGAAAATGGCGAAAGTGGAAAGTCAGTTTATCGTGGACGCTGCTTGCAACAATGGATCTACCGCTCTAGTGACAAAAGACGGTTCTCTATTGATGTTTGGCAAGGACACACTGCACAGTGACGCAGTTACAGGATTAGTTACCGATCTGAGGGAAGTGTGCGTGACTCGCGTATCGTTGGGCAAGGCTCACGCCGCCGTGTTAACTAATAAAGGCCACCTATATACGTTCGGTATAAACAATAAAGGACAGTGTGGTCGTGATTCAGCAACGGTGCATACGGTTAACAAAGAAATGTCGGTGGTCGCGATGGAAATGGGCACGGGGGAGGACGAACTCATAGTAGCGGAAGAGGAGAGCGTGAATTATATGAATTGGGAAGAGACAAGGGGCATGTGTCCACCAGGGCAGCATCAATGGCGGCATCGCGTTTGCATGGTTTGCACGATATGCAGAGAGTGCACCGGCTACAGTATCTCATGCTTGAGCAGCATACGTCCTGACCGGTATCCCGGTCAAGAGTGCGGATGTGGCGAAGGAGATAGCGGGTGCGCAGAGTGCGGATGTTGCCGTACGTGCGCGAGGAAGAGTTGCAGCAACGGCATATCGCGCTCGAATCTTCGGGAATACCTGCAGAGACGTCTGGGTGAAATAAAGGAGCGGCAGAGATGCAAAGCCGGACCGAGCACCGTGAAATACGGCATGAAAATTAAAGGATCGAACAATCAGCGCGCGCCCGGCCCGAGCATCGCGCAGAAAGGATTTCCGGACAAAGTGGCGTCGGGCTTGGGTAATCTCGTGACCGAAGAGACCGTCGGCGGCAGCGATGTGGAAAGAGGAGACGCGGCGAGAATCGCTAGCATATCACCGGCTAGAGTTCTCGTGCCCAGCGAGAGCCCCGTGATCCAAGTGTCCTGCGGCCTGCATCACACGGTGTTGCTGCTGCAAAATGGCGAGGTGTACACGTTCGGCAGTAACATATACGGCCAGTTGGGCGTCGGGGACTTGGTGGCGCATTCGGGACCGGTTCAAGTCAAACTGCCGACCATCGCTACCCAGATCGTCGCCGGGAGCAATCATACCGTCATTCTCACGTCGAAGGGCGAGGTTTATACGTTTGGTGCGTATCAGAAGGGACAGCTCGGCATGAACTGGTGGAACGGTCAGAATGAGTCCACCAACACCAACTCTCAGGCGAACCGTCGCGCTGACCGATCTCAACCGTGGCACAGCTTCCCGAACGTAGTACCGAATATCGGGCCTCGATGGGGTAGACGAGCCACGTGGATTGGCGCGGCTGGTGATCAGACGTACATCAAGATAGACGAGATCAATTCTATCAGTTTGACGCGGAGCACCGTTATGGCGAATAAGAACTGCATCATCCTGATACCCCACCAAAACGAGCACGCCAGTTCTTTCAAGAGTCTGGTGATTAGCAAACGCGACGGCAGCTGCAACAGCTACAGTGGCGTAGATCAGGTCGACTTCAGCAATTGCGCAGCGTGTTTGGATCCTCTATACAATGTAATCTGGACCTTCAACTCGACGAATAACGAGATCAGCTTGTATAACATAATATCGACGGAAGCTAGGACGATACCCGGCTTGGAAGCTTCCATACTCAATCCAGGCCTGGCGCTCCCGGTTGTGCCGATCTGCTACGTCACGCGCTCTCAGGCCGCGATGAACTTGTTGGCCTGCCTGGACACACTAACCCAGGCCCAAGACGAAAACCTATCGATAGTCGAAGAGAATGAGTACAATCATTTGATACACAATAAGATTTACAGTCGCGAGGACTTCTCCACGGTCAGTAGATTCGAAAGTCATGGAGGAGGTTGGGGCTACTCTCCTCACTCGATCGAGGCGATCCGATTTATGCCAGATACAGACATTTTGTTGGGGGGATATGGTTTGTTTGGCGGTCGGGGCGAGTACACGGCGAAAATAAAGGTCTTCGACATCGGCATTGATGGTGGGGATCAGGAAAACGACGGAGAGCTTCTCGCAGAGACGGACGAAATCCCGTACGAGTGTGGCCCAAGGCAGAAGTATTCGATCTTGTTTGACGAGGCTGTATCCTTGCAGGCGAACAAGTGGTACGTAGCGTGGGTCAAGGTCAGTGGACCTTCCAGCGACTGCGGTTCCGGTGGGCAGGGGATGGTCACAGCCGAGGATCAGGTAATGTTTTACTTCAAATCTTCCAAAAGATCCAACAACGGTACCGATGTCAACGCCGGTCAGATTCCCCAATTGCTGTACCGCGTCATCACGCACGAGAACCAGACGTCAAACAGACAGAGAGACGAATACGAGCCGATTTACGTGCTGAAAAGAGATTTTAGCAGGACTGTGACGAAAGAGTGCTTCCAGTCCTTGATATCTCTCCTTCAGTGGAGCTGGAACACGTTGAAAGCAGGATTAGCCGACGCGGCCGTGCATAGCGCGTCCTCGACTTACGCGCTACTTGAGATGGAACGCTTGGTGTACATAAGCAAGGCTAGCTTACGACTGATCAGAACGTACACCAACGAAATTTATCCTAACCACGCCGTCAGGAAGGTCCCTCTCGAGTCGGTACGCTTGGCGGAATGTATAGGGGAAGTACGCTCGTTGTTGCGTCAAATTCTGTCCGATTCTTTACCTTTCAATCTCAAGAACAAAGGTAAGACACGGTCCAACAAAAGCTCCAGCGGAATTCTGGGGAACAAAATGGCGAGCACCATATTAGACGAGTGTCACAAGACTTTTGTGTCCTGTTATCACGCGTTCTACCCTACCGCGTATTTAAAATGGACCTCCTTATGCGAGCTGTTATCGGAGATCAACAAGGAGCAAGGTACAACCACGAAGGATCGTCTTCTTTCCGCCGTGTTGGCTTCCTTGTGCAATTCCGCGATACGATTAAGGTGCACGTTCCCGATTTTGAATAACGTCACGGACAGCAGCGACAGTATGAAACGACAGTTCAGTCCGGCCGATAACAATCCCGGCTTGCTCATGGCGAGTGCCGCGGAGACGCACCAATATCCGATCTTGGTTGAGCAGATCACTTACAAGTCCGAAGCGGAGAGCTCTGGCAAGGAGACGCTGAACTGGTCGTTCCGCGAGGTCCTCGACAGACTGTTGGACTTGATATTGATACCGATCAAGAAAAACCTGTGCAGAGAGAAGAGCCAGTCCTTGCCGGAATTGGTTCTCCATTGCTGTTACTTGTTGGCGCGAGTCATAGCGGAATTGGCTGCGCAGTCGAGTGGGAACGAAGACGAACTGCAAGCGGCCTGCGGTCGGCTCATGTACACCACACCTTCGAGGTTCACGCGAACGAATCAGTCGAGATCGTGGAATACCGGTAACGGCTCGCCCGACGCTATCTGCTTCTCTGTCGACAGGCCGGGCATTGTCATCGCCGGCGTGGGCATCTACGGGGGCGCGGGGGTGTACGACTACGAGTTGGAGCTGTTGGACGACGTAAGTAACTCTTTGATTCACCATTCGTTATCCTTCACTACATATTTATTATATGCTGATATGCTGGTGATATTACTTTCATATCAGCAAAACAATACCGGCAACGATCCATCGCATACTCAACGCTGGAGTAGCTTAGACTTCACGAGAGGAACCTTCGGACCGGATGATTGCGTTAACGATATAGTAGAGTTGAAGTTTGACAAACCAGTGCTCATAAAAGAGAACGTGAAGTATGCTATTAGATTGCGAAACCGCGGAGGACGGACCAGTAACGGCGACGGCGGCTTGAGCGTTGTCAAAGGAGCGGATGGCACAACGTTTACATTTACTGCCTGTTCCCTGAGTTTCAACGGTGCGTTTAAAATGAGTTTACTCGTGAAAGATACTTCGCAGTGTTACGTGATGCGTTGATTTCCATTCGATTTAATATGTTAATTTGTCGCGTTACCGTCATTGCAGGCACCACGCAAACCAGAGGTCAAATACCACACATTTTATATTATTCAAATCCACAAAGTTCCGACGGGCAGCACACGAACAAGGCAATGGCGGAAGTGCAGGCGAGGAAGTGCACTCTCGCCATGACTTCGACCATCATTCAACGGTCGAACGAGATTTTTTCTCTGGCGAGGGAGAGAGCGGAAGAAGTGATAGCCAATGAAGTCCTCAGTAATGCGACCTTCGTAACGACCCTCTTGCCGTTAGTGATGACGCACATTAGTCCCTTAGCTACGTCAGATCCCAGAGTAAGTAATTTTCAAGGATTTCACGATAAATATGTGAAAGAGACCAAGGTATTAAATGCAAACTTTATTTTCTTTGCATCCTCCAGAGTAGCGTGCAGATCCTCACTTTGATACAGGAGATGTTGCCACACGTAGCAGCTCTGAACTTGTTATCTGCAATGGGAACTTCTCAAATATCTCAAGACAGCGAAACTCAATCACACTTTGCTCCTCCGGTTACCACCAGTCATCATTATACTTGGCTTGAGAGCGATCATCCTTATAAACCAGCTACAGTGTCGTATTACAAAGTTACTTTTCCAGAGACAGTCAAGTGGTTAACTGTCGAATTCACCGCCGAATGCGGTACATCGCAACCGGAGGATTACCTGCAATTATATGTACCAAATATCATTCCCAATTCTACTGCCGGGTAGGACACAATACTTTTGTACTCATACGCGAGTGTATTGTATAAATACATTTTAAATTAGTATTCAATTTTGACTTCTATATATACAGGTCAGTCACGAATACCGCGAGCGAGAACATTCCTCTGTACTGGCCGGTGTTGCACAAGTTGAGCAATGTTCAAAGTCAATGGCCTCAAAACGCCGTTGTGTTACCAGGTATGTTTATAATGAACATCGATAGTAGCAAATAGATGTCATATAATTGACTGTAACGCATTCAGTAAATTATTTCGTATTGTTTAGGAAACGAAGTGATATTTTCTTTGGAAACCGCATCCGATTATGTGAAGAACGAGAGTTCCAACACCTACGGCTTCAAGTGTTTAGTTACCGGTTACGATTGGATAACGTCCGGCCATGGTCTGAAGAATCTAGAAATTGAGTTATCTTTCCTTGGAGGAGCGTGCGCTGCTAGTCTCATGAAGAAAAATTTGTCATTGCCTCCAGTATCATGTAAGTATAATATAATTTAACTTCAGTTTCTTAAAATAATATGATCCACTAATTCTACATATATATGATAACGATATATTCGCTTTGTTTTCGAAAAACTAATCTGATATTTTACTATTTTAATTGTGTAAAGAGGAATGCAGCTTCTTAAGATAGATCCGTGTTATTATGATTTCTAGCGGAGGAGGTTGAAGAGGACTCGGAGTCGATGCAGGAAACAGCAAAGAGGATCTTCTCTGTACATTCAACGTTACTTGGACGAGGATTCGCACTTGCGTCGCCTCCCACGGTCTCCCAGGCTCTCGACGGCGTGCTTCCGTACAGGTAAGTACTCAACGCTAATCTTGATGCTCGAAGCTTGAATGTTCTCTGGTAAAAAGAAACCGTATTAGGACTATTAAGGGTCATAAAAATTTCATCGCTATTATTATATTATGATACACGTTGTATTATATTTGGAAAATTATATATTTTTTATGTTGAATTAACTTATACACACACACACACACATATATATATGTATACATAGATATATATATACATATATATATATATATATATATATATATATATATATATATATATATATATATATATATATATATATATATATATATATATATATATATATCTAGGTATGTATGTATATATGTATGTATGTATGTATGTATATATGTGAGAGAGTGACGTGCATTTCGTAATTACTGAAATTATGAATAATCATATTGAATGTGTAAGTTGTTCTTTTGCATTTCGCCAAAGATTTTATCTCACTTAGCTTGTAGTGAATATCGACTAATAGTAACATTACATCAATATTATCTCCTACTCAATAATGTAACTTACATAGTATTTACGTTATAATATTGCATTTACATTGTTAAGTAAGAAATTATAAAATTGATGTTATGTTATTGGTAGTTGGTGTTTGTACTAGGTTATATATGATAGCTCAATACTATTCATTATTTTCGCATAAAGTAATGCGTTAAAAATTCTCATAGTATCCAATCCTCTAATTACGTTTAGCAAGTTTTCAGCTAAAAATTTAACGTAACTATCTGCTCTTGTTCGAAAAACACATAATTCAATAAGTTGATTGCCTATTATCACGGTCTAAATATTTGGCTCAGACGTGAGAATTTTATTCTCAGGATATAAAAAGATTCTCTTGTGCGCATATTGTGTGCATCAAAAGTTCTTTCATATGCAAATAGAGTTTTATCGATGAATAAAATTCAAGCTCAACATAAATCATCTCGGTTATGTTGACGCAACAGCAACCTGTTGTGTAGCTATAAAAATCGGTATTGTATTCAGTGTCGTCTTCCTTAATTTACTGCATTATTTAAAAAAATGTTATATGCGATTGTTTGACAAAATACGACATTTACTGTATGATATTTATTCGATGCAATAACGCAAATAATTTTTATTCATTATTTTCGAAATTCTTTTTTTACAACAATTATTTACGCATTTCACTCCACCATCGGTATTTTTGACAAATTCTTGTCTAGTCCTTTTCTCGCAAACGAGTCTTCGTGTTAAATAAGCCTTATCCATAATGATGATAATATTTAGATATTACGTGCGAAAATCTTTGACAAGAAAAACAGTTTACACATCCAATGTGATCTCTCGCGATTTCAGTGATTGTGATGCGCGTGTTTCTTCAGCCACGTACAACCTAGAAAGTTCATTCGCGAACTTTAAATCGCTCTCATTTAAGAACTCGTAATTACAACTTGCAATTTTGTGAGAGAAGAAAGTTTCCTTTCCTGGTACAAAGAATTACACATTGCATTCGTGGACGCGTATATTGGGACACCTTCCATATAGATTCATGTTTAAATAAAAGAAACATAAAACCGTGTACATACGCAATACGGTTTCTTTTTTTACCACTAGCCAATATTTTATTTATTATATAATGACGACAACAATGATTTCGAACAGGATTGTGATTAGCACATCTATATTTAACGATATTTAATCACAGTGGCACGCCTGTGGCTCTCTGAATCGTATTTTTCATTAATGCATATATATATATATATATATATATATATATATATATATATATATATATATATATATAT